CTCATTTCATTTTCATTTTCTCAGCATCTTAATTAACAGTGAGAAAACCCAGAATACACACAATCGTGTGCTAGTAGAAAGACAACTGATAAATGAAAAGTTCCTGTCCACATGATGTGATTAAAGCACTGATGGTACTTCTTAAAGAATTCTATACTGCATGGAGAACTGCTGTGGAAAACAATGTCTGAATAAGGAAACCCAGAAATGATGAAAACAAAAATACATAATCCTATAACAAAGGTTTAAAAGTATGTTTATGATAGCCTTGAATTTATTATCACTAGAAATTGGCAGCTGAACATGAGATAACTTTCTAAATATATGTTCTAGCTTTTCAGCCAGGGGTTGAAAACATTGGTTTATGAAATAGGAAAAAATATTTCTTTATTCAGTGCATGCACTGATGAACACAATCTTATTAATATATGATACGAAGGATTTCACACCAGTTTTCCTTGATAGTTTCTTCCAGATTTGCACTGTGTATCTGGAATTTCTAGAGAAGGGGTAGCAATGTTAGTTTTTTGTAGGGGGAAAAAACCACAGTCTTGTGGCATGATAAAGATGAACACATTTATTAGAATACAAGAATTTGTAGAATAATTGTGCATTTCATCAGATGAATAAAATATTACTCTGAGGGAGGAATATATATGCATCTATGGTTGTGCAGATGGGAGTAAAGAGTTAAAGGAGAGGACAGGAAAAAATAAAATGTAGCAAATGAGATTGAGATGAGAAATTATGTTATGACCATTCACAAAATAGTTGTGACACAAAACAGTCTTGTACTGATGTACAGATTAATATCTGAGTTGCAATAAGAAAACTGACCTCAGGTTACTCCACAGTTAGTGGAGTTAGTATTTCATCCCTTCATTGGTTCTAACTCAGTGAAGCCTACTATGATAGACATTTAGGGAATTAGGTTAAACCTACTATGATGGCTATTTAGGGGATTAGGCTTGCAATGGGATGTTCTTGAATGGACCAGTTTTTTAAATCATCATCTGTTTTCTCTCCTTTCTTCTACAAACTGATTTTTGTTGCCAGTTTCTGAAGAGCACAATTAATCTATCACACACTTCTATCACAAGAAAATATCACCTCTGCACCAGAAGGTCCTTCTGTTGTTCATACACTACACCTGTAATCTGGTTGCCAATTCTTGCAGATAGCCAAATACTCTAACTGTCCTGCAGTTTCCAGAAAACATCCTTTTTCTCCCATACGCCTCTATCTAGAAAAGAAAGTGTTTACATATGCATGTTTGAAGTCTCCCCCCCCCCCCCCCCC